CTCATTGACTGACTCACTCACACTCTCACTCTCTCACTGACTCAGCCTCACTCACTCACTCACTGTCTCACTTACTCACTGACTCACTCTCTAAAAAAACATAAATAAATAAAGAAAAGAAGGGTGCTCGCTCGCCTGCCTGCAATGAGTTGAGCCTCCATTGCTGTAAGATGCTCTGTTAGCCTGGCTTCCCAATAAACAGGTTTTGTCTTTCTGTTTCATTCAAAGTGGTGATGAATTGGCTCACTTGCTCCAGAACATGAATCAGCCTGAAGTTTGGGGTAACAAAACTAGGGGGCTCCTCTTCTAGCCCTCAAAAAACAAAAAAAAACCTGACTCATAGGACAGGGTAGAGCTGTCCGTGAGTTTCCAAGACTGACTCTCTATAGGAGTAGAAAGCCCCATCTTTCCCCTAAGGAGCAGCTGGTTGTTTAGAACCATGCCAACACATAACCACTGTGCCACCAGGCTTGGGCCCTCGAGCTGACACTATTCTGCTGTTACCCTTAGGGCTTTCGTTGGCTAGTTTGAGAAGCAGATCACCAGGCCTTTCTTCCTAGGCTGTCCTGGTCTGGAAGCTCTGCTGGAATCTGTTCCTCCTGGCTGGCCCTGCTGCCATTTGCAGTACCAGTGGCATTGCTTCCAGCATGGCAGCAGCATGCTAGTCACCACAGTATGGCAGACGGTCTGATGAGTGGTGGGCCACAACGACACACAGCCGTGACAGCAAGGAGAGTGGATGACCGCCGAGTGCCAACTGTGCATTCGCTCGTGGGCGTCGGGAAGAGCCCTTCCCATTTTAGAGATGAAGAAACTGAGGCCCAAGGAGGCGGAGTCACTTGTTCAAGCTTCCTTGGCCAGGATGGAGCTGGACGCAGGCTCAGGAGGGTTAGGTCTGAGCACCTAGGTTGATCACCTGGCCCCCCTGCTCTCGCCAGGCTGCCCCCCAATTTCATCTTTACGGCAGCCCCGTGGGGTAGCTAGTGGCTCTTTGACAGATGGGGAAACGGAGCCTGCCCTGGGCTGCCAGCAAGCCAGAGCAGTGGCCAGGGGCCCCAAGTTTCCGGCCAAAGGGCCACATTCCTTGGGTGGTGCCACATGGCAGAGCCGGTGAGAGCTCTGGAGTGGATCTGACCTGACCCACAGCCGCCAGCTGTCGCCCTGTGGTGGGCACATGTGTACCTCGGGACACTTCCTTGCCACATGGCACTTGAGCCTAGCACTTACCGGGAGGCCCGACAGGCCCATTTCGCCTGCTTCCCCTTTGGGTCCCGCCAGCCCTGGCTCTCCTGAATCTCCTTTTGGTCCTTTGGGGCCCTAAAAACCACAAGAACAAGGGGTCAGTGAGGCTCAGCTGGCAGGCTCTCGCCCCTCCCTGGGGCCCCAAGGCTGAGGTCAGCCAGGCCAGCCAGACCCCATGTCCTCCTTGGGAGTTGAGGGGGCTGGAGCCTTGACCCAATGCACCAGGGCCCTGGATGGAGGTGGGTGTGCATGGTTGGGAGGCATGGTGGGGCACTGTGCTCCCATCTCAGGAGCCAGCCCTCCCCATCCCATCCTGTCCTTCAGTTCATTGTTTAGCACCCTCCGCTGTGTGCTGGACTGCCTGCCTCCTCCCTCGTGGGCTTCCACCTGCCAATATCGCGATCCCAGCGACAGACAGGGACATGGGTACTAGCATGCAGACTCGGAGGGGGCTTCGAAACATTCAGGGGAGAACAGAATAGGCTGATGATGGCATTTTCCCACAAACGTTTTGCAGCCCCCTCGTATTTGCTGACACATGACAGCCTCCTGGCCACCTCCTCTGGAGAGTGAGGGCCAGCCTACGGCCAGGTGGTCAGGCCGTGGGCCACGGTGGACCCGCAGGCTGCAGAGTCCTGCCCCACCCACTGGGAGGGCCTCTCGCTAGTGATGCACGCAGGTGCACACATGCGCGCGCACGCACACTACACGGCCCAGGCAGCAGAGACCTTCTGTCCGTCGATTCCAGGGGTCCCAGGCAGTCCGAGCTCTCCCTGGAAGGGAACAGAGAGGAAGAGGAGGGTGGCTCGCTGTAGCCCTGGGCGGGGGAGGGGTTGTGGCCAGGGGCCTGGCTGGCGTGCCCCCTCATGCTGAGCCCGGGGCAGCAGCTACATCGCTGCAGGCGGATCCCCGGGAGGTGCCCATGGCGCCGGGAACTGTGCTGACGACGCTACGCCTGCTACGCCTGCTTGGGTCCCTTCGCCACCTTCTAGACAGGGGCGGGCCCCTGGAATCACCCACTGCCAGGGAACCGATAGGGAGCTGGGGCTAGAGGATAAATGATGGCTTGCTCCAGACCCCGCCTGACTTCCGGGGCTCCTCCCCAAGTTCAGTGGGCTAGCTGGCCAGCAGGAAGTTGAGATGTCAGGCAGGGAACTGCTAGGACCTCAGGAGGGGCTGAGTTATGGGGTTACAGGAAGGAGTGAGGTTTTCCAGGGAGTGGTCAGGACCCAGGAAGCAGGCACCCCCTTTCTCTGAGCCCCCAGGAACCAGGCTAGGACCCCAGGAGAGAGAAGCAGAGGGGGCAAGGATGGTAGACATGGGGCTGAGGACCACGGGTACTGACCTTGGCTCCGGGAATCCCTGGGGGCCCAGGGGGCCCCTGCGGCCCTGGAGGTCCCTGAGTGCGAAAGTTAAGCTGGTTGGTGATGAGGCAGGGCCTCCCCACGCCCCCTGCTCACCCCTGCACGTGGGCCTGGTCCAGCCCAGCTGAGGTGCCACAGGATCTCACTCTTACCGACTCAGCCTCACTCACTGTCTCACTCCCTCAATGCCTCACTCACTCATTCACTGACTCTCTCACGGGGTGAGGGGTGTGGGGAGGATGCCCCAAAGAAGGCTTCCACAGACAAGGCCCTCAGAGACTGTGGGTCACCCTGACGCCACCGCTGAGGAAAGGGAGGCTGAGAGAAGAGGGGAGGAAGAGGCCAGCCCCCCAGCCGGCAGCCGGTGCCTCCAGAGCGGCTGCATCCTCTAAATGCCATCTTGGCTCTGTGGCAGGCCCACCCAAGGGTAGACAGCGAGCCGTCCCAGATGGCACTTGGCAGCTTTAATTTAAGAGCAGGGGCCAGGGCACCATGGAGCCCAGTGCGGACTCCCAGCTTCAGGCCCAGGCTGAGCAGCAGATGAGGGGGCGGTGGCGGAAGAAGTGGGTGGCAGTGATGGCGGAGTGGGGTGGGTGGCGAAGACGTGGAGAGAGGAGGGCGCTGAGGCTGGGAAGGACAGCAAGAGCAGGGCCCAAGTGGGGCTGGGCTCCCGAAAGTGGGCTCCAGGGAATTCAGCAAGCCAAGCCCTGAGGAGACCCAGGCTGGGTGGAGGCCAGGGTTTGGCCCTCACTTTGAATTAAGGAGACTTTCTGCCATGACGCTAGCCCTGTCTGCAGCTGAGGGTGGGGACACTCACCTTGGGACCTTGGATTCCCTGAAGACCCTGAGGGGAAGAGAGCTGATCAGATGGTGCCCCCACCTCTTCCCCACTGTGGCCCCGATCCAGATTCTCCCTGCCCAACATGTGCCTGCCCGTTCCCTGTCCAACCCCAGGGGTCCTGCCCACCCCTCCGTCACAGGCCCGGTCTGCCGCCCTCTTTGCATCCAGGCTGCATCACGTGCCACAGTCCTTACCATGGGCCCTGGGGGCCCTGGAGGTCCGGGGGGCCCTGGCTCCACTATGATCTGGGCCTAGGAAGGGTCAGAGACCGTTGAGTCACCACCTGGACTGATGACCGCTCACACCCTGGAGCTCAGCAGCCCTGGGGACCAGGAGCAGTGGACCGGGGGCCTCTGTCCACCCTAGGAGGGGCCTGGCCTGGGAGGGGCTGGTGGCTGGGAGCTCTCAGGCGAGGACACAGCTTGTGGCTTCGTTACTCTCTCTACCCCCACCCCCAATACCCCATGTCCCTTGTGTGGCCAGGTTGCCCTCCCTGTCAACTTGGGCAGGTTGTTGGGGGAGACCCTGACCCCCAGCCCCCTCCCTGGTTACCAGGCTCTCCTGTAGAGCTTCAGATGCTGGCTCTCCCTTTTCCCCCTTGGGTCCGTCGATGCCCTGCGGGATAAAGTGGCCCGTGACCCTGTGTGTCCAGTGCTCCAACCACTGTCCACAGTGCTCCCCAGCTGCCCCCCTGCCTGCATCAGACTCCTAGGCAGCAGGAATACTTCTGTCCTTCGCAGCCTGAAGCTGGGTGAATGCCCCAGGCATGGAGCGCCGTGGGTGTGCTAAAGGGAGCACACTAGCTGCTTGGTAACCGGTTTCCCTGCGGTGCAGGGCAGCCAGGGGCTCTGGAAGGCCAGTCCTGGGTTCAAGACCTGCCACCACCTCCCTGCCTGAGTGGGGCTGAGCAAGGCGAGTCTCTGCACCACGTGTGAGCGATGAGCACCCAGTGGCTGCCCTCAGCTGGGCCAGCCGCTGCTCCCACCCAGTCAAACGGCGGTGTTGCGTGCCCCAGCCCGCACCGTCTTCAGCTCTGCCGAGGCCACTGGCACTTTCAGTGCCTTCCGGCCTGTGTGCCGTGAGCATGACTGCTGCCACTGTGACACTGAGTCGGCCACGTTTGTGGAGGAGGAGCGCACGTATTTTGTCACTGAGCTTCAGCTGCTGCCCGAGGGCTCAGAGTCTGGAATGTTAATTAGTACTTCAACCTGCTCAAGGTCGAGTTGACAGCCCCCCGCTGGAAAATTGATGTCAAGAGAATGGATGAGAAAGCTTTTTGTGTGCTCACGGTATCGAGGGCTTTTTGTGGGCGGCCTGTCGTTTCAGAATGGTGCTGGCCTCCCTGTCTCACTGCCTCACTCACTGTCTCACTTGCCTCACTCACTCTCTCACTGCCTCACTCTC